TTAAAAAGAACCGTCAACACGAGCAATATATGAAACTATTAATCGCTATCGAAACCGATTAACTATTTATTAGGTAAAAGTAAAATTTTTTTGAAAAGAAATTAGTTTCAATTGGTGCACCGGCGAGTTGTGGATACGGATGTCAGGAAAACATAGATGCATCGAAAATATCGATGTGTGCGAATAGCCGAAGTATCGATGCATCGATGTTTTTTGAAATCTTACATCTCTAGTACACAGAACCGCTTAGAAATGAATTTGACCAAAAAATTTGTTAGAAAATCTCTAGATTGCTATCTGTCTGATTCAAACCGGCTAAGTTTCATAAGTGAAGCAATTTCCTTCAGTAATTTAAATTTGTTAAGGCTTTTTTATTTGCACGCCCACATTTGCTCCATATAAAACGAAATTATATTTTAAGTTATATATGTATATGTGTCGAGAATACATAATATCGAATGAAGTGGACAATTTTTCTAAAAAACCCAGAAAATTAGGAATTTATAATGACTTAAAAATTAAAATTTTTATGATATGTATGGTTATACGAAAAAGTTTTTGACTTAATTCAATGGCACGTTAGTTTGCTCAATTATAGGAATTAATTGGGAATTTTGTAAAATTTTGCTAATTTGTAGTGAAATAATAATATGAAAGTTCCTGAGCAAGTCGATGCATCGATTTATAGCCTTCGATGTATCGAAAAATATCGATGTATATAAATACGTTTGGATGATTCGAATCAAAGAAAAACACTAATGTATTTTTGCCCAGTAGTGGATTTATACAGGTACGCTCTGCCAAATTTTTAACACCAATGTACATTTGAGAGCATACTTAATTTTTTCATTAACAAATTTTTTGCCAAATTTGCACATTTTTGTTTTGATTTTCCTTGGCTCTACGTAAAACTCTTTTGCTAAAAATTAAAAATGTTTTTATTTTCACTTCATTACCAACATCCTCACGGAATCCACAATAACTTCACTCGCTTGCCACATACTCTCATGCGAAAACAAGGCATATAAGTAAGTACTCAGTTTGCTTGCCGAGTGAAAACTTTTTATAATAAAAAATTAATAAGCCAGAAAAAAGTGCCCATACTATTTCGCGCCGGAAGTTAGTTATGCGAATTTCGCCAACTTTCGTATAATTGCGAAAAAAGCCACTTTGATGAAAAAAAAATTACAAAGGAAACGGAAGAAATGCGAAGAAACTTTCAGTAATTAAAATTATTTTTTACTTGCAAAAAGTTTTCACGCCTTTTTCGGCGTTTTCTTTCTTTCTTCCTTTGGTCCTTGCCCGCAAGGTATGTAGATAAAGCCAGAGCTCGCGTAATTGCTACCCAGTCTCTGAAGTGCGAAAGGGTTAAACAAGAGAAAATACTGTCGCAATTACTTATAATAAAAATCATACACACTCTTTCCTTCACTATTTTATGTACTTGTATGTATGTATGTATATCGATAATACATATAAGGCGGCATGAAGCGTTCGCGCTAGAGTTCAGCTTCTTAAGTGTACTAATTTTCATTGACAATGCCGCTACAGTTTAGCTACACTTGGCCTAGACTGATGTTAAGCATCCTTGCGCTATTCTTTCACATTTTCATCTGTCTTCCGCCTTTGTCTCTTTTATCCTTCTGTTAGAACATCTTCATAGTTAATGCTTGGTTAGTCTTTTAATTCATTTATGTAAATTGTGTTAAGCACAAACAAATCGTCGTGGGTTGCAGGGAGATTTGCTCACTCCTAAACTAGGCGTGCGTCTAGAAAATTATGAAGATTCAGTATCGCTGACTGGCTTTGTATGAGCTTAATTGGATTCACATGCATGAATACATACGCATGTATGTATGCTAAGATAAACTGTTATTAATGTTGAGAGTTATTGATATTAGAGGATCCTTTTGTTTGACAGCGTTGATAAAAAAATGTTATTTTAGAGGGAGACTGAGCTTTTTACAGTGGGTTACTTTGCAAATTTGTGAATGCTTTGTAAAGAGACTACAAAGAAAATGTTGTATCTTACAATTTAATTGAAGGGATTCACAATGCAGCTCGATTTTCCTTGCTCTGCGTGAGATAATGGTATTGCAAGTCATAAAACAAGAACTCAAAAAAGAAGGAGTCAAGTTAATCTTATAAGCAGGGGATGCAATGGTGGTGTTTTGGTATAAAATTTTTTCCTCTGAAGCATTTGTGAAAGGCTAGAGGCAGCCTTGTTTAGGTAACGCTCATGGGTCTCAAAGCGCGGTTTGATAATCAAAAAAACCGATTTCAAACTCGTAGCATCCGTTTACCAATCAAAACATATACATATATATGCATCGAATCAAATTTAATTACATTTACGAGCTTTTGAGTTACATATTTACAAATATAAAAAAAAAATTATTTTTTATCAAAAATGGAAAAATTTTCATTTGATATGCTTTACAAGTAATTTTAGGATGAAAGGTTTACCGCTATAGCAGAACTTCGCAGGAGTTTTTGAAGGTCCTTGATTTCAACGAATCGTACGTCCTCCAGGTTATCGCGGAATTGCCTATCGAGTGTCGACAGTCTTCGCCTGCATAGAGCAGGGCACTGGAACAACAGGTGCAGAGTCGTTTCTTACTCTTCTTCATCTTGACAATTTCTACAGAAGTCATGTAGCCGTACGCCTAGTAGATAGGCATGCCTGCCAATTAGGCAGCGTCCTGTTATAACAGATACTAGCAAACTGATATTCTGCTTATTTAAGCTCAGTAGTAGGCCAGTGCTTTTAGCAAAGAGCGCCGGACATAGTTTCCTGTCAGTTCCACTCTCTATGCTCATATAAAATCTACCAAAGGTGAAAAAAGCTCTTCCTGAAGTCACTAATTTATAAACGTCTTAGAAAGTGACGACCGGAATACAATTTTTTTTCGAGTTTTCTATTGGTTTTATATTTGTAAATAAATAGTTAAAGCTTTTAACAGATTGGAAGCTTTCCACAAATTTGCGTGCAGGGCTTTCAAAAGCTTTCCATACATAGATTAAAAGCTTCATCTGCCCATTATTGATTAAGATAAATTTGTAGAAAGGTAGTAAATTTTGCTGGGATATTCAGCTAAAAAGTTTAAATCTGATACTCTCAACATTCATGACGATCAGGAAGAGCTTTCACTCTCGTTGGCCATGGTAAATCTTAAAAAAATGCGAAAACTTATTCCTGTGGGACCAATTTATACACATCTAGAGAAGTAACGACGACACAGGAGAGACTTTTCTGGTATTTTATCAGTTATTTATAGGCTGACACAGAATAAAAGCTCTCTCTGATTGTCACTGATCTAAAGCGCGACTGTAAGCTAATCACGACCAAACCATATCCCACGTGAGACGGTTTTTGCAGATTTTTTTTCATAAAGAGCTCGCACTGATTGCCAATAAAATATGCAGATTGTGACTTTAAGTTAACCACGACCAAGACAGATATCTCAGGAAAAGCTTTTCGAAGCTTTATATGGATTATCAAGATCAAAACGCCACCCTCGGATAAACTTTATGAAGGGTAATATGCATTTTATTTAAGTGGGTACAGAACAAAAGTTTTCACTTATATCACTGGTGTTGACATTTTTGAGAAGAAAGTTCTGTGTTTGTAATAAAATTTAAGAACTGGTAATAATACATATTCTATAGCCAATAAGTATCTGTATCAAAAAATCGTTCGGTGAAAAACTTGAAAGCAAAATTGTCTGAATTTAAAAATTCTTAAAATCTTATTCACTAAATAATTGCTACCAAAAGGTTTTGGATTATGTTGAGCAGTCACGACCAAATCATAACTCGCTGTTTGCATAGGAAAATTAGCAAAATACACTCAGAGTGTAAATGCTGGTCGTCGCTTGTGTGGAGTTTCAATGGATGGATTGCCAACGGGCATCGCCCAACTTCGATATTTCAGCTTTGAGTCACACGTTAAAATCAGTCTCTTCCCTCGTACTTCTCTAAAGTATGAAAAACTGGTCATCGAAAGACATAGGAGTGATGGTAGTGGAAGTCTTCAACATAGTTGCATTGCTAATTTTTATAATTTTTTAGATTTTTTTAACATTGTGGAAGGATTCAAGAAATTTTGAAAATGCAGAGGTGTACCCCAAATTCATAAAAAATATAGAATACTTTAACTGCTTTATAAATCAAAAATTTGTATGAAGATTTCTTAAATTTTTTATTATGAATAAAGTCATACAATTTTTGGTAAAGCAAACTCAAAGTATACATATAGAAACAATCAGATAAAAACTTATCAATTTTTAAGGCGATTGCTTAGAAAAAAGCCCCAAAACTTCAGCTGTGCTCCTTGGAGAGTGTAAGTTTGAAATTTTCTTGCGTTAAGGAAAAGTCTAATAATGTGCGTTGACCTTCTTAAACTTAATACAGTAAAGCCGTAATTCTCCACTCACTTGCATGTCCTTCCTTTCATAGGCCAGCAAAAAGTCATTTCCGCCCCATACGGACCTAAGTGCTGTTGTTCGTTTTGTTGTATTGTATACTTTGTTCAATAATTCAAACTCCAAAGGCTCATAATTATTAATGGCGACAAGCCATGACAAACTGCTGCATTGGCGAAATCAGAAAAACGCTTGACAGCGAGTTGGCATTATTTTACTGAGGCCCGTTGTGTGCATCAAAATAGAATTAAACTTGGATGTAGTTATTGCAAAACAAGTTAAACCTAATGAGAGAAAAAAAAAATTTTTTGAGTGACTGTGTGTTTGTGCGAAATTGCGTGGGACTAGGGGAATATTTTTACAGTAATATGTATGTATGTACATAGTATGTAAGTATGTAGTTAGCGGTTAGCAAATGAAAATTATAAAAGAAACTTAATTGATGTCAGAAAAATAAATGTTTTTCATACAAACTTAACCTTTAAAAATATAGTGTTTATCTTGCAAATAGTTTTCAATTTATAAAAATTTATTGTAATCAAGTTCAACTTTGCATTTCTTTTCTTCTAATTACAGCCCACCAACTATGTTACCATAACCAGTCATAATCGTGGCAGCAATAGCGGAATTGTTGGTGTTGGTGGTGGCGGTGGTGTTGGCGTTGGCGTCGGCGGCGGTGGCATGGAGCCACCCGGTGATACCACCGATGCCGCAGCTGAGACCGCTCGTATAAAACAGCTAGTGGGACAACTGCAAAATAACCTGTGTAATGTATCGGTGTTGAGTGATCCGGATTTGGATTCTTTATCGAATATGGATCCCAATTCATTGGTGGATATAACGGGCAAGGACTTCATGGAGCAATTGAAGGATTCAGGCAGGTTAGGGGGAGAGGCCCAGATGTGGTGGTTATCCCCCGCAACATCTTTGTCTCGATGTGCTTTACTTTCTTTCTAACTTACTATCTAACTATATATATTAAGATGTTTTTTAAGACTAGATTTACTGTTATTTATTTATTTGTTTAGTTTCATAGATAACCCATTCTTATTATATTGGTTTATTTATTTTAACATTATCAAAATTTTTCGCAAAATTTTCCTATATTTTTGATCGAAATGGTCGATTTTTTTAATTTAAGGCCTTGAGTGCCTAAAAATATGCAATGAAAAACTCCCCATTAGCTGTTATCAAACAGAGCTGCATTCCAACAACACCCAAATCATGCTTAACGGTTCAAACTCCCACCTTCAAGTTTTTTCAAAAGCCAGAAGTGTTTTAAAGCTTATACAAGATTACCCAAAAGCTATAAAACGCTTATCTGCAAAATCTATCTTCGCTATTTTAAAAACAGGCGCTAGATGGGTAGGGGTGTGTCGCCTTAAGCAAATAATTTTTCTTTTCCGAATAAACTTTTTTACTGGATAGGTCTTTTACTGGAATCCGCAACAAAATTAAAATTTTTGCAAAATACGTTTTTTGGCACCTTGCTAAATAAAGGAGGTTGGAAAATAGAAATGTACAATCCTACTTCAAATCTCTTTCCCATGAACTTTACTGCTTTCTCATTTCCCGAAATACCACTGTGTTGCTGTTGAAACGATTCTAGAGATCTTCAGCATTCTCGAACGACCGTAAGAACTATCGTAGGTGAGAAGCCCCACGATACACCGATCGATGTTTGAAGTGAAACTTCTTTAGCGGCGGTTGGCTGGTTGGGAGTAAATTGGCAAATTCAACGGAAATTGCACAAGGAAATGACGCAACGGAAATGGTTGGGGCTGAAACAAGTGCTTCTTGTGTGTATGCATATGGTACTAATTAAAAAAAAATTTGCTAATAAAAGGTTACAAAATAACACTTAGAAAAAGACCAATACAAGAATGAAAGTAAAGGTCAGTACGTACATAGATAAAGAAAACAAGTAAGAAAGTCTAAGTTCGGGCGGGGCCGAACATTAAATACCCGGCGCAAGTATTACATATATGGCTTTTCACCTTTCCGAAAGCTACCGCTACATGGTAAGCCGGGGTGTATCAATTTTGAATAAATTAGCGTCCTTAAATTTCGAAATATTGACGTTTCAAGCATTTCTAAAATTTACCGTTATATGAAAAGCCGTAATTTTAGTCCGATTTCAATAATTTTCAACGTTTTGCTTTTATGTGGCAAGCACAATAACCATACCGAGTTTGGTACAAATTGGTGGAACGGTTACCGAGATACATATATGTGATCATAAGTGGGCGGTGCCACGCCCATTTTCCAAAATGTTATGATAAGCGTNCAAAGATGCGTAAAGATAAAGGCAAAAATGAAGACCAAGGTAAATTTAAACACTTTATTTAAATATATAAGGGCAAAGGATATTCCCCTTCCCTCCCATAATGAAGAAAATGATGAACATATAAGTAAAAACAAAGATGAGGATGAGGATACCGATAAAAGTAAAGATGAAGATAGGGGAAGAAAGATTAAAATAAAGGTAATTAAAGAGAAAGGAAATAGAGAGAGACACAGAGACTCAATCTGGGAGCTAGTTTGTGATTTTAGAGATTTTCGGGATCTCGGGACTTATCGATAAAATAATCGATATTTTTATCGGTTTTGTTATCGATATTTTTACCGATTTTGTTATCAACATTTTTATCGATACTGTTATCAATTTTGCTACCGATACGTTCGGAACTTATCGATATAATAATCGATATTTTTATCGATTTCGTAATCGATATTTTAAACTATTTTGCTAGCGATATTTTTTTATCGATTTTGTTATCGATTTTTTTATCGATTTTGTTATCGATATATTTATCGATTTTCTAATCGATTTTTGTTATCGATTTTGCTATCGATATTTTTATCGATTTTGTTATTGATTTTGTATAGAGATAAAAATGAACATATAGGAAAACAGAATAACATAAATTTAGTTAGAACGAACAGGGCGGAGGTAGGGATCTAGATAGAAATAAAATAATGTAAGAAAAATATTTTTTAAAAACAAGCTTTTATTTAACTTGTACAATCAAAGGAATAAAATGAAGTAGTGTAACAAAAGATTTTTTAGCAAGAAAATTTTGTCAAAACTGCACTAAAATCAATAAAATAAAATAAGTTAGGGTCTCGTTAAAGTTACTAAAAGCCATTTAGTGAAAGGAGTTGTTCAAACTCTTATGAAAATTACTAACAATTTGTACTAATTTACTTCGTTTTTAAAAAAGCTTGTCGCGCGAATAGCAAACCGGCATTTAAATATCTGCATACATACATATACATACATACCTAACCAATTATGCATGTACGCTGAATTCTCCTTCAATGAAGGGGCTAAGCATGTCCTTTTACGTGCGCCAAATTTGGTTGGCCAATATACAATATGCCTAAGATACTTACGGCTCCCTTAGTGAATACTAGAATGGCCTTGGCGACCAAAATCCTTCTTACAAAGGGTTCGATGTAGTCAAGACCACACAGCTACAAAGAATGTGTTTAGAAGTTTCCTCGTTTCCTCAGGGCAGAGGCGGCATTCTAACTCTTCGACAACATATATTCCATGCATATAAAATAGTAGTATTTCGTTGATTGTGACCATTTAAGTAGCTCAAGAGTCTATTAAAGGAAAAGGATAGTCGAAGGTCCTGTCCTGACTATGGTCAGGTAAGGTATGAAGGCAGCCTCCGTAGGTAAACGCACTCTTAGATATGAATAAAGCTGTCCATTGTGGTTCTTTTAAGAGAGGAGGGAGAAACACATAGGAAGGTCGGAAGGATGGGTGGAGGGTAGAAACCGGGATGGAGGCACAAAGCGATGACACCTAAGCTTAATGAAAAAAACCCTCCGTGTTCACAACGAAGTTTCTAAAGCGACGGATACACATTCCCGAAAGCGCCTGGACTTTTGCCTCACAAATGTGAGGCACCAGAGCAGCAGGTATTGAGATGATGTCCTCTTCCTACAAGCATCTGGTGCGGTAAAGGTAGTCCGTAATATTCAGCTTTATGGCATGCTTAACTATCACACAATGACCAGCTAAAACTCCCTAGACTGATTTCGGTCTACATGACGCCAAACTACTTAAGCTACCTTGCATTCCAAGTTCTTTTCCCATCGCCCGCTGAGCTGACTAAATGCTCATCTGACCAGAAGTAGACCACACGAGGTTAAGGTAGCACCCAGACTTCCTGCACCCGGGAGTACTTTCTCAAGCATTTCCTGTCTTGCCAGTTTCTCTGCCATGCAGTTTCAAGCAGTTCCGCTCTGATCCGGAACCCAAAGAGTTTAATCAGTCAGACAAGCTTTTATTCTTCTCGAACCAACCATCAAAGAGCTAAGATCTCTGGTGACCGTGTGACTGTCGGATTAGAGGTTCACGCTGGAGAGCAACCAATCCGAAGCCTGCTTCTTTGACTAGGACAATCATCTAATAACATCCAATCTGACCAAAGAAATATATTGTTTCCCAGAGGAACATCTAATTTGAAAATAATTTTTCTAGACCTCTAACTAGGAAATGATTTTTCTAAAGTCCCGACAGACTGGAAAGTCAACATCATGCTGAGCTAGCAATTCCTGGTCGACTGCTATTGACGTGAGTGCCCGAAAAGATACTTTATAGAAAAAGAACTCATCCTAGGAACCTTAACGTACAATCACTTAACTCGACGTACCCCAGGCAAGTAATCAACGATATTACCGATGGACGAACATTACCACCTTCATCAACTTTCGTCCTGAGAGGCTGCCTCAGGAGACGCGTGTTACTCTCCGATTTAACTTCTATTATCCTAGACTCGAACTCGGCGAACTCAATGTAGGTCTTACATGTGAAAAAGCAACGGACAGTGTGTGATCTCGTACCTTGTGAGGGCAATAAGCCCTACAGCAGTTTTACCATTTATTTGCTATAGTAAATCTGAAATCAATACAAAAGCTTTAAGCGTTCATCTGGCATGCAAAAAGCAAGTATGCAGTTCTCTTAATTCGATTTAGTCAATAGTGTATGGTAATATTTTATAAGCACCGGGGCACAGTGAAAGCAAGGCATTACGGAATTTCCATTAGCGTTTTTTGTCATGAAGGTTTCCTTTTTTTCCTCATCGTACTGAAAAGCGCGATAATTTATCAAATTTTTGACAAACGAGCCGACCGGACATAGCCAGCCATTTTAAATTTCCTTTGCCGTGTCATGCCATAGCGGCTATATGGTTTATTCATATCGCAAAATGGATTGTGATTTTATGAAAAACTGGTTGTGAGCAAATGGTTGAAAGCAAAATAAGCGAGGGAAACTACATTGTAGACCAAAGAACAAAAAAAAAAGAGTTAAGGAGAATTCAAAAAGCCAATCGCATGGTGGCAGGAAAGATAGTTGTTGGAGGTCGGATAAATTTGGGCTAGTTGGCCGGGAGCTGTTTTAAAATTGGCAGCATGCATGTGTGCGAGGCTCACACTTAGTAAGCAAGCGATTGAAATGCAAGAGATGTGGTAATGAAAAAATATGACATGAAACTGGGAAATGAATTATGCAGCATGTAGCCGTGATAGCTGGCGCACTAAAGCTGAAAGCGAAGAAAAACTAGGCATCCAGAAAGTACAAACATATGTTGCATGCAGCAAAAGACAGCATAGCTACAAATGATTTAATAAAGTGTGATAAATGGAAATGTTTTCGTTATGCAGGGATGTATGTATGTATGTATGTACGAACTAGTGGGCCAAAGCATTATGACTTACTAAGGCACAAAGTGTGCTTGGTTTAGTGTAGTATACGTTTGTGTGCGCTTATGCAATTAAATGCATTTCAACGCCAAACTAAGGTTGCCACATCCTCGGGCACTACCGGCATTTATTTAGGCAAAAAGCTTTCTATTGTTCACACACACATATCCATACATACATATGTATGTTCTAACTGACCAGCAGCCATCATTATACATTTTGAGTGCACACTTACAAACATTTGCCCATTCAGTACACGCGCAGTCCATTATTTGTGGTGATGGTAGTACCTGAAAGCTGATGGTCAGCTGTCGCTTTCAAGGTAGTTTCAATGCCTCAAGCTGCTATCCTACGGGCTTACGCGCTGCGCATACAAATATATATTTACAGTTTACATGTGTTTGTTTGCAGAAACACTATTGTATGTATGAGAATTGTGAATTTATGTACATATATGTATGTACATTAGACCGGGTCGCGAAAAAAGTTTGCAATTACCCCATAGTTTGAAAGCTTGCTTTGAGAGAACAAAAATGTTCATCTTTGGCGAGTTCTAAAAACAGCCAAAGTTTCCTTCGGTTTAAAGACAAATTTAAGATCACTCTACTTTTCTGTTTATTTATTTATACTTCCGGCTCCAAAGAAAAAAATGCATCGCTTACAAAAACGTATTTATTTATGAAGAGTAAAACTGTATTGAATGAGGTACAAGTTGAGTTAACCCCATCAGGACCATAAGCCGATAATTATAAAAAATACGGTGACGCATCGAAAGCTTAATTATCAAATTCAGGTATCAAACAAAAAAATTGTATTTAAAAAATAATTTTATTTTTAAAATTCTCATAAATTTTAGCTAAAAGAAATTTTCTTCCAGGTATTTGTTATAAAAAATGTAATTATCCAATTTAATATAATTTATTTTTTTCTAAATTTATTAAATTTTTCATCAGTTTTAATCATCAATTTTAATTTTTTTGATAGATATTATTTTTCTAGATTCATTTTCCATGATGACTTTTTTGTGTAAATATCTTCAAAATAAATTTTTTCGCTGAACTGATTATTTTCCTGTGTTTTTTTAGTTTTAATTCCCATGAATATTTTTTTACAAAGAAAACTATTACCTTACTACTGCTATTAGTTACTATTTACCACAAATATAGGTTTCCCCCAAAAAATCCTTGTTTCTGCTGTTTGAAAATTTAAAAAAATTGTTTTTCTTTAAACATAATTTTAGTTCTAACTATGTTTTCTTCCGAAAAAATTGTTTTTGAAGGAAAGTTTCTTAAAAACAAATATTTCTAAAAAGTTCCAACTTTCAAATAAAAAATATTTTTTCTCCTAAAATAATTGTTTCCATTATGTGAGCTTCTCGAAAAGCAAACTAGTTTTTCCTTTAAAATTTGTGTTAATTTTTTTTATTCCAATAAATAATTTTTCCCGAAGAATCAATTTTTACCGCAAAAATAGTTTTGCTTAAAAAAAATCTTTGTTTCTACTCTGTTTTCCTACAGAGTTTTCCTTAATTATGTCTATTCCGTAAAAGTTATTATTTCCTAAAAAAATTTCTTCAAATCCATTTCCTCGAAAAAATTCCAATTATCCAACGAATCCTCTTTTGATAAATTTTTCTATTACGTCGAACATTATGAATCCAAAAATTATAACAGTACTAAAGTACGAAAAGTTATCTTTTCAACCATGTGGAATCGAGTAACAAATAAAAGAGTTACGAAGAAAATTCGATTTTGGCTCTTCTTAGTACTCGCCAGTATGACCCTGAAATCCTCTCAAAGTAAGCTATCAAAGTTTTTTTCTATCGCATGAGGACAGATCCGGTCTAGTGTACACGTGTATGTACATAAGTACAATTACATGCATTCAAATATTCACACTTGTATGCTGTCTGAATAATGAAAACGTCATCCGCATACAATCCTGGCATATCACAACAGCTCATAAAGCGTAACGTAGCAGGAGTGCGTCTGGCTGGTTGCCGACAAATGGCTGTGTATAAATAAATAAATAAATAAATAAATAAATATGTTTGTGTATTTGTACATAAACATACTTACATATGTATATCAGCCATGGCCATGTACGCATTTTTTCTGTGCCGTTAAATGCAAAATCACCGTTGATTTATTGGCTTTATTTGGCGGTGGCTTTCAAGCGCCTTCAAATTTATACATATACTTGCACATAAGTTCAAATGCATACGTACATATGTATGTATGAAGATATGTGCGTGTAAGCATTTATGTGGTGATATGCGTATGGAAATCATAGCTCCTTTTTTACCTATTTGGCTGGCTGCTATCCTGATTTTTGATTGAAACGTGCGGTTTTTGCCCTTTTTGCGAGTGAAAGCTCTTTTAGTGGTGACGCATTGTACACTACTTTTTGTGTTGGAAGCTTCAAATTTGATTAAGCTGTTGAATTTGGACTGACGCTAATGAGATTTTGTGCTTTGAAAAGTTAGCTTTGTTCTTTGATAAGAATGTCTGCTACTTAATACAAGGCACCCACAGAGCAGCCGCCAACATTTCCACACCCCAGAAAGTTTACGTGGAAGACAAAAAACATAATTTAACCAAAATGAAAATTAAAACGCTTGTATTAGAAAGGCAGCGCCTAAGGTGGATATGGCAGACTCATAGATTACCGGACTCAAAGATAAAGCGGAATCCCAAGACAAATTTTTAACGCAATAATAATAATAAGAATTATTTCACCTGGATGGATGAAATTAGTTAACCGATCAGCAATATGATCACAAATCCTTATTAGTTAGTTATTTGATCGAAACGGTTATCTAGAGAAGCACATAAATTTAGACTTTTTCATGTTGAGTGACATAGAATTTACTTCACACTTATAACTCCTCCATTTATGCGCAAGGAATATGAAATTTCGCACTATTTTCACTCATTATCAACAGAAAGCTTGACACGAAAACTACGAAAATCGGGTTACTATAACCTATAGCCTCGACACAACTGATCGCCCAGATATGGGGTTTTACTTTAAAAGTCTTTCATTTAGACGGCTAAAATCGAGATATTTTCTAAATAATCATACAAAGTCTACTGAGAGTATAAGCTATACCTCCTATACCATTGATTGTTCAGATACGAGTTTTTGCTATATAACTCCGTTATGTAGACAGCTAAAAATATCAAATTATTTGTCCTGGTTTACATATCGATCATACACAGTAGTAAAAATCATTTTTATCGCTGCATTATGCGGCATATCTTGCACACCACTCATTGTTTAGATTTGAGTTTTTTAAATAAATTTGAGATTTTTGCATTGAATATAAATAAATAAACATTTTGTTTAGATTACAATAAACTAATGTAAAATGCAGTAATAGGTTGAAGCAAAATTTGCTGATGTTCATGAAAGGTACGAAGCCTTGTTTTTATTAATTCATTTCCTTAAAAGTTACCAATGTTTTAATTTTTATAAAAAAAAACACCATAGGGACACTTTAGTTCTCTACTATGTGCTCTTATTAAATTTCTTAATATAAAATTTGTTAAATTAGTGGTTTCCTGGCGGCATATAATTTACTTTATGGGAAATTTCCGGCTAAATTCTTTCTGCTTTGTTTATTTTTTAGTTTCCACATATATTTTTTTTGTTTCGAAAATGACGAAGTCCCTTTCTACATTTTACAGAATCATTTTATTTCGATGTTCAAAAATATTTAATTTGTTGTTGTATTTCAGAACGTATACTAACTCACTCATATTTATCTCAATAGCTCATCTCAAAGTAAGAATTAACTCATTTCGCAGCCATAAGAAGTACGAAGGAAAATTTTTTATTTTCTATGAGCAAAATTCTAGACCGAAAGTTCTATTGTAAGATCTCTTTAGCGACATTTGCCGTATTGCCTTTTTATGCTCGCGGACTCATAAAAAATTACTCACTCGGACTTCTGTTGGATAGCATATAAAGTTACTTTCTAATCTTCGGGTTTTACTAATCTTTTGTTTTTAATTTTTTCATTCTTTTCCACACCTCTCTCTCTCTTTCTCTTTCTCTCACCTACAGACCATTGTGTGCAAAGCGAAACGCTGAGGACCGAATTAACTTGTTAAAGCTGTTGCGCGAGGGTGCCATCTTTTGTTCGGAACGTTATCCGGAGGATGCTGAGGCTATCGATATGGAGATCAGTCGGCAATTGAATATGGATGTAGCGCAAACAACAACAACAGTAACAACAAACACGAACACAACAACAACTATAACAGCGAACACAACCACGGTAAATATCGGTGGACTAATGGCCCATCAACAGCAGCAGCAACAACAACAACAGACTAATACAATAAACAAGACAATCGAACAAGTGCAAAATGTAGCAGCAGCGGCAGTAGCAGCAGCTAAACGCAGAGCAGCAATGGAGGCACAAATGACCTCAGTCGATGTGGTGACCATTGTGGAGACGCATGTAGCGGCGACGGCGGCGGCGGCGGCAGTGGCAACAACAAATACAAAAAACAATAATCAGCAAAAGACGACGACAGCTGGCGGTAACAACAATAATAAAACAAACGATATATGACTACCGATTTTTAGTAGTATAACTTGAAATTTAGAGATCGCATGCAAGGAGAAAGGTTAAGCGACGCGTGAAAGGCGAATTGTATGTAAAGGGCGCGGCAGCAGCAAATGCTGGGGGCCTGACAAATTATATTGTAATCAAGCGGTAAATCAATGAACTATAATGTATGCAATTGAAATTTAACTTATGGTTTGTGTGTATACTTATGTTGATCAAAAAAAAAAAAACAATAAAAAAAGGAAATAATGAATTTTTGGGCAATAGCATGCACACCGGGCTTTAGCGAGAAGTGTGGGCAGATAGGCGACCGAAAAGGCAGAAATAAAAAATGCTGAATAGCATTAAAATTTTTCAAATAAGTAACTAGAGAAGACTACGAAAAAAAAAACAGTAGCACAGCACTCATAGCGCCAGTCGATTTATTGTTTTAATGAATAAAAAAAAAATAAAATAAGAATCGATAACTCCGTAATATTTAAGAAAACTGTGGTAGCAGCTTATTTAAATGAAAAATATTTCGCACTTGTATTTTTAGCTTTTTTCACAATATAACTCGAAATTTCACTCAAAAATAAACAAATATTAATACGTGTACAAACAAACACCACTCACTACTCAATATAAACTGCACACGCGCATTTTAACTTTTTCAGCACTAACATACTCATTAAGAAGCACTCGAATAATATGTATATCACTCACTTTTATACTGAAGTAATACCAACTGGCTCAAGTTGTTATATTCATATTTTGATTTTATTTATATTTTACTTGAAAATGTGAAGTTCTTTTTAATTTTCGCAATTACGAGTCACACAATATAAACCCTGAACGCGAGATTTAACTTTATTTGGCGCCACTCGAACACAATATCACTCACTTTTGTACACAAAATCACTGAAGTCATTATCTTAATTTTTGCATTTCGTTTAGTTGTAACTCAAAAATTAATAGTTTATTTAATTTTCGCAATTCACTCAACATTATTCGCTCAAAGTTATTCACTCAACAAAGACTTCTTTCGTGCATTTAAATTTTGGCCATACCATTATCATTAAGATGCACTCGAACAGAATACTACTCAATTTTATACTCACAAAAGACAAAAACTCACTCAAGTTATTATTTCCATTTGAAGTTAAGGACATACCATTTAAATTATTTTACCAATATGTATAATTAAAGTAGTAAGCATTCATTAAATGTTCAGAAATTTATAGTTTCATTCAATTTTGGCAAAACACTCAATCAAAATGTACTCAATTATATCCACTCAATGTAAATTTCACTCGGACATTTAAAATTTTTCGGCACCAGTACACTCATTAATATGCACTTGAACATAATATTACTCATTTTCATACTCAGTAGACACAAACTCACTCAAGTCACTATCTACACTTTTGCATTTTAATGTTAAGAAATTCCGTCTAAATTGTATTTTTAATTTTTGCAGGAATTCATTTATTATTAAAAAATGTAAACATATTTGCCTTTTATTTTCGCAATTAGCTCAATAAAAAAGATCACTCATTGATATTGGAAACAAAAGCTGAAATAAACTCAGATTATTATTTACTCACAATATTGCAAAAATTTCATTAAAAATTGTTCCCGATTTTTTTTTTTTAAATTTGTAAAGGATTAAAAAAGAAATGTGCACCTCTATTGTTATTAATTTTCATAATTGTTTTTCGCCATATTGATTTTATTCAGTTTCCGCTCAGTTTGTAGAAACATTGTTGGCATGTTATTGAATGCAGTCTCCAATCTAAGCGTTAAAACAATTAATTTACGAAAAATACTCAATCGAAGTTCACTCAATAATATTAAAAAACACTACTCTATTTGTGCATATGGAATATTTGTTATGATTAAAACATTCTCTATTATATTAGTTAAAATAAACTAAAAATTCAACTCAAAAATTCAGTTCAAAAATTTAGCTTAAAAATTTAACTCAAAAATTCACTCAACCCTTTTTTCGGAATTTGAGTAATTTTTGAGGGCATATAAACTAAATACCTTCCCTATCTATCATTTTTTGTCTTTTACTCTTTTCCCACTTTTTTGTAGACACTTTATTGTTGGTAAGTTATAATAGCACTATTTTGAGTCAAGAGGCATGACATTTTTATTGGCGCTAAAATTTATTAATTCAGCCACACAAAATATCAGTCAAAGCACATGAGTATTTCGACGCACATTTTCACTCAAAGCATATGTGTATATCTCATACTTAATTAAGTGTCAAACTCACTCATTCGTGTCTAATATCACTCAAAATATTACGATACGAGTGACAAGTGTTTTAATGTTAAATGTTTAAAAAGTAAACGAAATCGTGGTGAGCAAAAAAATGAAGCGAAAAGAGACAAAATAAAAAAAAAGTCAGCGAGAGAAGTGGTAACAAAAAAAAACGTAAAGAAATGATATAAACGCTACGTAAAGTAATGACTACGTAACTTCATGCAGTAAAGATTTTGCAATTTTACAATCACGCTCAATCTTATACATAACTATATATATACAAACTTACATATATTCCTTGCAACCCTGAAACGACCAACATTTGAAACGAAAAAAAAACAAAAAAAAACTTTACGAATGAAAGAGAAAAAATTGTCTAAAAAATCAGCAGCGACAAGTACGTAATAAACTTATGTAAACTGAACTTAAATACATATACAAAATATCTAAAATAAAAAAAGGAAAATTCAATTTTATTCTATGCATACATACATATGTATACTTATGTGCGTATGCGCTACTTAAAGAACTTCCAAAAACTTAACAAAAAATTTAAAACAGTCAAGAAACTTTAATGTAACAGCCGCCAGTCGTAAAGTCGGGCTTGTGCTCTAAGCTTAAATTAAGGAGAAACAAATTAACGACTTTTGAAAAAAAAGCAGCTAAATAAAGTAATTGTAAGCGTACTCGTATGAGTTAAGTTAGATGTCTGTAAACGAAAGTTAACGTAACGTAAATGTTAAAGGAAAACGTAAGGCAGGTATAAAAAACAAAAACAGAAACAAAAGTGAAACACAGAAGAAACCTACATAGATGAAAAGGAACAGCGAGGCGCTGAAATAGAAGAAGATCAATGATCAACATAAGTAAATAAAATATTTAGTATAGAAATCGGCAGTCAATAAAATAAACGCAAGTAGAGAGCATGCGCTTGTAGTTGAAAATTCAAGATTAAATAAAACGGCAAATAAATGCATAGAAATTGATAGCAATTAATATTTAGGTACCTATGTAGGTGTGTTTCTGCGAAAAATATATCAGTTAAAAGAGAGTAAGAGACGAGAGCAAGGTGTATCAGTCAAGTTAAGTTAAATTAAATATATCGTGCCCTAACTGCAAAATTGATGTAAGCGAATTCCTTTTCTTCAAACTTTATTTTTGACTCAAAAATGCATCTAGATGCCGAAGGTGCATTTCGGCATCAAAAAGAAAATTTTGAAAAATAATGTCGCTTACATCCTTTGGGCGGTTAGGGCTCGATATATAGTTAGATACTTATCCGCTAAAGGACGTAGAACTCACGCAAAAATTTATTTTTAAATTTTAGTCATTTAAATCTGCTCAAAATTGTAGAGGCTTTGCGCGAACAATTTGGTAGCACAATCTTGAAACTTCACAGATATGCTGTATTTGTTTTCAAAGTCCATTGCTTCTTATATGAATATTCTATTTGAAAACTTCACAAAGTTATTAAAAAAAAAAAAACAATTATGATTTTCTCGAGTGACAATGGAAAAATTAGCAATTTCGGTACTTTTTCGCCTAAACAAACGTTTTAAGGCTAACATTTTTCAAAATACTTGATTTATATTTTATTGTAGGTACTTGTTTCAAGAACTCCATTGGTTGAAATAAATGCAAGAAGAATGCTTTAGCGTTTTTTTTCTGCCAGAGAAGGGAGTTACACTCAAAAAAAAAGGTGAGATTTGCTCTTATATGGATTAATGGCGGAGTTGATCTAGTCAAGGAGCCACGTGGTCATAGGTTCGAGTCCAACGGCCAGAAGAATTTTCATTGCTTGGTTTTTATTTCTTTAAATGTTTGTGGACTTTTTAATAAAACCTAATACAAAAACTTAGTTATCTAATAATAAAATAAGTAATGTGAAATAAAATTAAACAAAAGAAAAAAGTAAAATAAAAAAAATCTTCCCCTTGGCTACCGGAAACCCCAAACTCACTTTGGTTGTTTACTTACTTGTACAATAGACAAAAGCTGGCCGTTTTAGCTAGTTTGTTGCCATCACAAATTCCCCTGATCCGCATTAATTTTAAGGATAAGCTGCAGGACTTATTTCAGTTTAACTGCAGTTAATTCTGTATTAACAAGTTGATCCGGATTAACACGGCCGCCTGTCTATGCTTTAAATATATGGGGCTGCGATGATAATGGTAATGAAAAAATTGTTGAAAATGTTTTGACGTATTTATGTGGAAGAGTAGTTGAAAGCAATCCTATCTTCTGTTGTTCAAAGGTAAGGTATAAAACTGCCATGCTCAACGGTGGCAGAACTCCAGGACCAGATGATACATGAGTTGGACTAACTATTTTTTGGAGCAACCGCCAAATTATGAGGTAGTAAATTGTAACGAATCTCACTGATGGCCTCTATTACCCGGCGTGCCATATACTGATCTGCTTCCAACGATGAATACACTTCGTCGAGGTTTTCCTTCATAAAAACCATTTTCGGAATCCTCTCATAAAGTTCATGTTCCAGAGAGCGATGACCACGCTCGAACTTATTGAACTTTTTGGTTGGTTGCAGTTCTTTCTAGTCGCTGCCAAGGATTCAATTAGCGCATTTTTGCGCCATTTGTGCATGTTGCTTGGTCGAACCATTTTGATTCTCTAATGATTCTATCGATCCCCCTTGTGGTATAGAAAGGCCTTGGCATTCACATAGGAAATTTCAGGACACTTTATTCGCTATTTTCTAGGTGACAGTTGCAACAAATTGTGTTAGTTATGGCGCTGTGCTCCGCGATGATTGCTACAATTCTGAGCACCTATGGTCTTGATGTGCTAAGCAGGTCTAAGGTCTTCGTCCTGTTATAGTCAGTCGACCACCTGTGTCTAGCCAGTTCAAGGAAATGCAATCCCGAGAGGGCAACCCAGTGCCATCGCTTCAGATTCGTCCAAACTAGCTCATCGGCCTTGCCATTGCCTTCTATGTTCCTATGTCCGGCAACCCAGGCTAGAAAGACGGTGGTTGAATGAGACACTGAGCCTAACCAGCTTAGATTTGGTAACCGGAGATGTTATTGCAAATAACGCCGCCGGGCAGTCAGAATATATTGCTGCTTTACTCTAGTGGCAGACTTTAATGCGTACGATTTTAGAGGTTTTGAAGATACCTAGATATTGTGCTTAGAATATGCCCATATATCTTCCCAAGCGTAGAGTCAGAGAAAAA